TAATAGGTAACACCAATTGAAATTCTCATTTTGATAGAAAACATTAAAGAGATTATAGGTTCATATGCTTTAATCAAATCATTTTTCACATATAAACCCTAAATATTATCTCCATATTAAAACTAGAGAAAATAACTAAACAGCGGAAGTATAAACATACTTTGATTCATAGATTTCTGATTTAAAATAGCGGAAGTATAAACATACTTTGATTCATAGATTTCTGATTCTTTGTCTAGATATGTTAGGATCTTTTAATTAATTGGTGGCCTTCACTTCAATTTTGCTCTCTATTGATGGGGATGTAGAGAATCTCAAGAATCCTGCAAATCTTAAATTTTATTGTATCATGTCGAATGTCAAATTTTCAAGAAAAGATGATTAATTACTGTTTTGACTAAATTACCCTTAGGCAAATTATACGTACACGGCCATTTTTCCTGGCAATGGATGGAATGAGATGGTACCGCCAACAATTGGGGACCATGACCCCCACATAACAAAAAGATAATGGATGGTCATTATCTTTAATTTATTTCAAATTGGCCCACTAATCAATCTAAAACAAACATTCGATCTCTACACTTTAATTCCATGAAAACTAATACCCATTAGTCAAAATTTATTTCTCGTCCATTGATTATATCAATATAGGATTAAAGCAGTTTTCGTTATAAATATCATAACTAAACCCATCAATGATCACATACATCAATACAATCAAATGACATAGATCAAGTGTGGATGTGTAGCATGGAAATTACATCTAATGTTATCCAAACATGCTTATTTCCAACTGGTCCTACCTTATTTCTTAATACCTTATGAGATCAACCATAAACTTTAATAAGAGTGGAACTGAACTGAATACTTTATTTCTGATATTAATCGAATATTCTCGACAAAATATGTGTCTAAAACAGACCACATCCAAATACAAACTCTTACTAAACTGGCATATCATCAAAAGATGCAAGACTCATGCGAGCATTATACTCATGAAAGACCTTGGGTGGTAGCCATTTAGTAAATGGATCCATGATTATGGAGTTTTTCTTAATATGCTCTATAGAAATCTAACCACTCTCATTTTTTTCCTTACAATTAGGAACTTAATGTCTTTAGACTTTGACATCGTCATGTTCTCATTGACACACAAAACTGCTATTGTCACAAAATAACTTAAGTGGTCTTTCAATTTTATCTAAAATATGCAGCTTTAGTGACAATATTTTGCAGTCATATTCCATGATCATAATCAGAATCTCCAACGATCTCCAGTTAGTCTGATTTTCCTGAATGTGATCATGTAATCCTTAGTTCTCTATAGGCATTGAATAACCTCATGGCTGTTTTCCAAATTTCCATCCCNCTGCTTTCCAAATTTCCCTCCTAAAGTTAGTTAAATATCTGCCTAGCATTTCAGCAAAGAATGCTATATCCAAATGTTTGCAAACCTGAGTATACATTAAATTCCCAATAGCTAAAGCATAGAGAATTTCATGTATTTTCATTTCTTTAAATTTATCCATATGGCATTAATTGAGACCAAACTTGTCTCCCTTAGCAATAGGGATATCACCTGAATTCCATATCTGCATTTCAAATCTTTTAAAAATCTTATCGATACATCTCTTTTGTGATAATCAAAAAAATACACCACCCACTGAACTTGTGATATACACAATCATCAACTAAATTTATCTCAAAATCAAATGAGATAATTATTTGATGAAATTTGTGATACCTTCAACGAGAAACCAACTTAAACCCATAGATGGATTTCTTTAATTTGTAAATCATCTAATGTAACTTAAGATCAAAATTTATCACAAATGTCATAATTGTCCTGAAAGAATCTTTCGTTGAAACTTGAGAGAAAGCTCTTTGTAGTCAATGCCTTCATTTTGTGTAAAGCGTTTTAGCTACAAGACGAGCCTTATATCTTTCTACATTACCATTAGAATCCCTTTTGATTTTAAATATCCATTTCCAACTAATGAGTTTCGCACCTTCTGGTAATGGGATAAGATCTCAAACTTTATTATCTTGCATAGACTTATACTCCTTATTCATAGCATCAATCCACTTTTGAGAGTTATTTCTTTGCATAAATTGATGAAAGTTGATTGATCAGGTCTTCTTTCACTAATTCATGTCATCCTTATTTTCTTGGAGAGAGACTTTAAAAACATCCAGAATTGTCTTTCTCCCTTTAATAGTGGATTTCTTTAATGACATTTATTCTTGAGGTTGTTGAGTTTATTTTTCTAGAACAATCTATTGCTTGTGTATAGGAGATAATAAACCCATATTTGGATTGATTTATTATTCACATGGAAACCTTATAATTGTCATACGTTTACCACCATAAGTGTGCATGTAATTCGGTCAAATATTAACCTTCATTTGGGCCGGCTAATATCCGCATGAACTAGCATACACACGAAATCCTTCTAATATTCTAAATTAATTAATTTTCAGAAGAGAGGTTACTTTAGCAACGTATTGCTTCAATTCAGTCACTTTCGAATATTATCTTCTCAAATGACTTTTGTACCAACATTTGAAAAGTAAAACACCAACATTTGCATGTATTATTTATCTTGAAACTTTAGGGGTCTAAGGGTTAATAGTTCAGAACTTTAGGACCAAAAATTAATTATTCGAAACTTTATGGGTCAATAATTAATTATCCAAAACTTTAAGGACCCAAAATTAATTATTCAAAACTTTAGGTGTCAAAATTAATTAATTTTAAACTTTAGGAGGTAAAATTTAAAATTTAAAACCTTTTAGAACCAATTAGAACAAAGTCAGAAACTTTGAGGACTTTAATTGCAAAATGGAGAACTAAGATGATCCAAATTAATTAATTTTAAAACTCCATGAACTGAATTTAAACCCATAATATTAAGGCTAAATTAGGATTAACTTTAAATTTTAGGGCTGAATTATAAATAACTCAACCCTAACCCTAACCCTAATATTAAATTGTAAGCGGGGCCCCAAAACATCAAATTTGCAGCCCAAGCCCCCGTCCCCTCAAATCGATGCCACCCGGGCAGGAGCCACAGCCAGCGGCGGTAGCCAATTTTTTTTTTTATAACAGATCTGTAAAACCTTAATCCAAAAAATCCAAATTTATATGAATAAAAACTTTAATTATATCATAATCTATCCAATAATATGCTTGATTTCATGCAATATAATTCCAAATTCCATAAAACAACACATAGATCAAATCATCCAAAAATTCAGAATTTTTAAAACTTTAATTTCTCAAGAATCAACCATGGAGTGTCTCTGATACCACTTGATAGAAAACATTAAAGGGATTATAGATTTATATGCTTTAATCAAATCATTTTTCACATATAAACCCTAAATAAAACTCAATGTTGAAACTAGAGAAAATAACAAAATAGCGGAAGCATAAACATACATTGATCTATAGATTTCTGATTCTTTACCTAGATGGGTTAGGATGTTTCAATTGATTGGTGGTCTTCACTTCAATTTTGCTCTCTATTGATAGGGATGTAGAGAATCTCAAGAATCCACCAATAATTGGGGACCATGACCCCATATAACAAAAAGATAATGAATGGTCATTATCTTTAATTTGTTTCAAATTGGCCCATTCATCAATCTAAAACAAATATCCAGTCTCTGCACTTTAATTACATGAAAACTAATACCTATTGGTCAAAATTCATTTTTAGTGAATCACTTTAATTGACTAATTTTCTTTAAATAATAACACCACACATTTAATATATTACGTGTGGCCCCAAATATGTTAGAATTTTCCAACACATTTTTCTTGTAGATTTTTCTTCACTTCCATGGAAATTCTTTGAATCCAATTTTCAGTAAGTGATGGCTTTTGGTTAAGAGAGTAGATCAATATATTCACAGACGTTGGTAGAAGATGACAACAAGAGTTCCAGATTGGCTTGTTTGCGGATGTTGTAGAGCGCATTTAATGAAGGAAACTAAGTTTTGGCTCTGATGCCAAATTTGATGTAGCAGGAAAAGAAGCAGAGAAGTAATAACAGGGAAGAAGCAGAGGAAGATGGAGAAAATAGAGAAAGAAAGAGGAAGTAGCATGAGAAGAAAGGAAAGAAGAAGAATGTCGAGGAGAGAAGAAAATCGACAGCAGTAAAGCCTGTTAATTTTCCATCATTGTCTAAGTTTTCAAACTTATAATACCAATTATGCCCCTGTTTGACCCATATTATTTTTTGCATTCTCATTCTTCTATTCATTTTCAACTACACATTTTTCAATAAAATAATATTTTCCATCACATCAATAACTTTTCCTTCTTTTTTAACCACATATTCCCCATCACATCATTTCAAAAAAATGCATTCTTTCATTTTAATGTGCACCAAGCAGACTCTATATATAAAGGAAAACAGACCTCAAGAGAAAGGGGCCTTGAGCCAGCCCAAGACAATGAGTCCAATTAATCTAAATGAATATAGGGGTACTTGCAAAAATACCCTTAAAATTAGGGATATTTTGAAAAATCATATGAAAGTTTTTTGGAAATAAAAAATATTGTGTAAAATGAAAAAGTTACACAATGTCACTTTTTTTTTATAAAAATTGTCACTTTTTTACTTTTTTAAAAAAAGTGACACAAACTCAAAAAAGTAACAAAACTAAAAAAACGTGACACACACTCTCAAAAAGTGATACAAACTTTAAAAAGTGACACAAACTTAAAAAAAGTAACAAATACCAAAATAGCATCATCCATTTGTGCAGTACCAGTAATCATGTTCTTAAAATAATCAGTACGTCCAGGTCAATCCACATGCTGATTATGTTAGGAAAATATAACATATTATTTCATTTTTTTATCTACTTAAAAAGTGA